TGTTTTATTAGTTAAAAACTGAGCATAAGACAAAACACTGAAGAGCTGTCAAACATGAAGATAAATACGTGTAGGAAAAGAGAAAAATAATGAAGCAAAACAACAATTATGTATTTTATAAAATCCTGAATAGAAACATCTCTTTCATCAGTCGAGGTTTTTTATAGAAGCTGCCAGATGAGTTTTGAAGATCAAACCTTGCTCCAAACGTTTCTTTTTCCCATCGTGAGCGTCTGATTATTTAAAGACCGAAGTGTCTTTGCGGAGTTGTTTTGCTTTGTGAGTAAAATGACAGAATGTGCGACATATTCAAGAAATGATTTTGTTGTTTAGAAGAAGCCTGAGCTACGTATGAGGGGACGTTTCTTGAATGAATGCATGTCGCCCACTGCTCTGCATGCCAAGAACATCTGGAGTGTGTTGAAGGCGACTCTCAGCTACTTTCAATTATTTTTATTCTTTCTTCACCAGCACAGTGCTTCAATAAAAAGACCTTATTATCCTTACATTGCTTTTATTTCCTTGAGCGTGTTCTGGAAAACCTGGACGCAGACCTCCCCGTTGGGTTGCTTCATGGACGCCAGCTTCCAGGTCTCCTCAAACGTCTCCTCGGGGATGTCCACGCCAACGTTCCTGAAGATCTCTGCAATCTGTGGGAGAACACAAAACAGATATTGGAATAAAATCCAAAAGTAAATTAAGGAGCAAAATGAACAAAAAAACTTTACGTAGAAATGCGGAGAAGAAACAGGATTTATATTCATGCATTTAACTTAAAAACAGCAACGATTTGCATCAAATTTTCCTAAAGTCACATTTACCTCTGATGGACTGTGAACACGAACCGGCCCTTGTTATTATTAAATCTCAACAAAACATATTTTAGTTCAACTGAGCCTCGACAGCGTCATTATTTCTAAAAGAAATTAAAGAACTCTGCTTGCTGACCGCAGTAAAATTCGTCCAGTCACTAAGTGAAAGCTGCGTGAACGTATCATCCAAATTCCTCCTCTCATCATCTGAGTGGCTTCATGGGGTCGCCGGCCCTGCCTGTAACTTCTTGCAGTAGTTAGAAGAATAGAGAATATTTTTAATCGACATGTACGCCAACGTACCGCAGCATTTATTGCTGGTTATTTAACATGAAACTTTCAGAATGTTTTTCCTTGGAAAGCGTAAAGCGTCAGCTCCTGTTCTTTTGTTAGTTTTTAAAGATCTCGTCTTGTTTCTTCACGGGTTCTCAGAGTCTACCAACAGCCCTGCGGCCTCCGCCTCACCTCGCTCTTGGCGCGAGGACGGAGGAAGTGCTCTGCGTGAACGCCTCGAGCGGCAGAGATGGACGGATTCAGAAGATCTGCAGCCGTGGATAAATCTCCGTAGTTCTTGGTGTCTCCGACCCGTTTGACACGAGGAGCTGGAAGGTCCGAGCGCACCGTCGGGGTCCCGAAGGCACGGCGGTCTGAAAACGAGACGTTTGAGACAAAACGGTCATTCCTGAGACGTTGTTTAAACTTTTTAATCTTTAAAGCGAAACAGAGAAACAAAACACGAAAAGTTTTGATGAGTTCAATCTTGGTCTTGTGTTTATTAAGAGAAGACTTTGAAAAATGTCTATCTGTCATGGCAGGTGAGGACAATGAGGCAGAACAGGATTGCTGAAGGAAACCGAGCAGGAACAGCCCAAACTGTCGAGCCGAGCAGGAAACAAACACACAGACGAACAGAAAAGAGAGCGAGAAGTGAACAAGACAAACCGACAGCAGCTGTTAGCAAGTGACAAAAACTGAAAAACGAGGATTTACACAAACAAATATCAGGAAAACAAACTCCAGATCGTGACAGTGTGACCCCCATTTACAGAGTCATGGGGTTTCAAGATGGCAACCACAACTAATCCACGTCCAGTGAACAAAATGATCTAAAATTATGACATTTCTACTGATATTACGCTCAAACTTGGTGCGGTAGTAGCCAGTAGTCGTCCTAAACACATACGCTGAGCACAAACGGATTACACAAAACTTTACTTTAAAACTTTGGCCTCAGAGGAGATGGGTGATAAGCATTCCTTCAGGAAACGTCTGTTTTATATTACCAGTTCACTCGTTTAAATTTTTTTTTTCCGACGCGTGAATTTTAACTCCAAATACTTTTATAGCGACTCAACAATTCTGCTGTTCGGTCTAAAGTAAAGTAATTTTCTGTTTTATTTGTGTATTTTACACTCAGCCCTCTCAGATATTTAGAAATCAATAAAATAAAATCTGTTTAGACAAAACTTTCTCCTTCCTTACCTGCCGTGGCTGTTTCTCCACTGCTGGCTCCGATAGCCGAGGCGGAGGTGAGGAAGTGGTCTGGAGTGGACCGAGGCTTCCTGATGGTCCTGACCGTCTTCCGTAGGCTGCCTGGACTGACGGGCTCCAGGTCCTCAGGTTTAACCAAGGCCTGACGAGGAAGAAGTTCTGCTGGTTCCCACTTCCTGTCAGTGCTGTCTGGATCTGTGCTGGACGGACGCTCTGCAGACAAAAACAAAACTCTTTTTTTTTTAAAAAAGCGTAATCAACAGCTTCTGCTGGAACTCAACTCTGGAGCTGAGCCAGAACTTTGAGGAGGTCCAACTTTAATGGTTTAGTTCAAGGTGTTGGATTAAGTTTTCACCGGAGCGTGATGTTGATCAGAGCACAAAACATGAACATTCACGTTTTACGTAAAACAGATAAAAAAGTCATGTGTCACCGACCGGCTGTCAGAACGCGCTGATCTCGGCAGCTGATGGGCATCTTGTCCTTCCAGTTAAGAAAGTTGGCAAATTCCACGAAGTTGATCAGTCCGTCTCCGGCTGCGTCGCAGAAGTCCATCAGGTCGTGCAGCACCGCCTCGTTGACGTCCAGCTGGAACTCTTCACACACGGCCCGCAGGTCCTCTTTGTCAATCCCTCCTTTTCCTTTCTGATCACAGACAGAATAAAACGCCACAACAAAACGTGGTTTTGAAAAGTTTCACCGTTTTCTTTTCCCTAAAATGTGATTTTTTTTAACTTTAATGAAAAGTTTCAAGCTTGAAGGACTGCATGTCGCCCGCCGCCTGTCATGATTTTTAGAGATCTGTTCTGTTGGACTTGTTTGGTTTTATTTTGAAAAGAATGTTCTAAGAAGTCTGTTTGACTCTCAGCTACTACCACACTGGACTTTAGCTCAATATGAACCAACACGTGTCAGTCTGCCGGGATCCGAGCTTAAATCGAGTCGACTCCAGAAGGAAATCAGTTGTGGATGAGAATCGATCACGCTGTGATCAATCAAGTTTGATCAATCAAGTTTGATCAATCAAGTTTGATCAACTCTGTCAAGTGGTTCATGAGATATTTTGCTAACAGACTGAGTTGACTATCATTGCTAAAGTTTTAAACAAAGATGTCACACAAGGAGTAGTACCTGGAGTGTGTTTTCTGAAGTACTCTCAACTACTACCATCCCGGATTTGACAACATCTGTAAAAATGACTAATTTGTAGATATTTAGTGTTTTCTAAAGTCTGTTGGCTGTGGCATCATCCTGAGATGGATTGGCTCTAAAAAATAATTAGTTACAGACGTATCCAATGATTGTTTCCTGGATGTTTCATAAGATTCATGAGATATTTTGCTAACAGCGGGAGACACTGGCCTGTCATGGCGGCGGTTGTAAATCTGTGACACTTAAAACTCGGCGCCGCCTCTCTGCCGTGGATCTCACTTTGTCGTAATGCTGGAAGGCCTTCAGCAGGGAGGGGAAGTGGTTGAAGTTGATCTTCTTCAGGTGACTTCGGACGGCGCCGACCCGACTGTCGCGTTCTTTCACGTGCAGCTGCGAGGGCTGGATGATGTCGCCGACTCCTGAAGGAAAAAACAAACCAAATGATGTAATTATCCCCGGCCTTCAGCTGAAAAGTGCCGCAGCGTTCGTGTAGTTACAAACAAATAAATAAATAAAGTACCGTATTGATGTGGTGGTAAAACTTTTCCGGAGGTGTGTTCAGGCGGGAGACGAACAGAGTTGTTCCTCCTACAAACGCTGCAGAAATAAAGCAGTTAATGGAAAACGTTCATTAAACCAGAGAGGTTTGTTTAATGAGATGAAACCCACGTGTTGGCGGTGCCTATTTGTTGGGCCAGTTTGTCCTGGTTCCCGGATCTCTTCCAAACAGGGTTCGGATCGTGAAACCTGCGGGAAGCACTAACCGTCAGAAACACACAGGGTAAAGAAAGTTTTGATGAAACCGGGACTCAGCGTTTACTTCAGGGGCTCTCCGATCCAACGCAGACTTTTCCTGAGATTACGTCCGTCATTGAAATGTGGCGTCTGAATCCCAAACCGGCTGTCTTTACTGCAGTGACTCCACTTGTAGTTTCTGTCCAGTTGCTCACCTGCAGAGGAGGGAAATAAAGATGATATTTATCTTCAACACAGAGTAAAGATCAGTGGGTTCGTTATGGACGGTGATGCTTCTTACCAACAGGAAAGGAGTTGTGGCTCCGGATGAAACCTTCACGCTCCTCCTGAGCTTCCTGCTCCATCTCTTCGGTCGTTTTCAGAGGATTGATGATGTCACGAACACCCTGACCTGGAAGAAACGTTGAAAAGAACAGAAGCTCAACACGTCAGAGTTTAACTAATAAATACTTTTACATCTTTTTTGAGTTGCAGCATTTGTATCACGCCTGATTTTTAAAGTATTTTTGACCTTAACTTGTCATTCCTGTTATACGCACCTTTCATCGTTTTCACACCAAATCTGGTTTTGTTGTCGTACCCGGGGGGGCGTCCAGCGTGTTGGTCACGTGACCGACCCAACGGAGCCGTCTTCCTTGAAGCGTAAACAGACTCGCTGAGTTCTTGCAGCTTCTGTTGTAAGATCGTCTTCGGAGGAGGATTTAACCACATGTCCTGTAGGAATTATAAAAATAAAAAGTTATTGTGGGAAATAAGTGTTAAAATATAAAAGTTAAAGACTTTACCACATGCAAAGTAAAACCGCAAACACCAAGACAGACGTTCAAAATACCCTTAAGACAGCCTGCCGCCATGAAAGACAGGCGATCGTGTAACGTTCTAATTTCTTTTTCACTTTTGGCGTTTTGTTTTGTATTTTTCTCGCGTGCTTCGTATTTCTTGTTGCGGCGAGTCGAGACGGTTCTTCTCATCCTGAGCATTTCATTGCATTGTTGACCTTGTGTTGACCTTCATATGACAAATAAACCTAACCGTTCTGTTTGTTTGTTTGATTCTCTTTGTTAGCAAAATATCTCATGATCCACTGGACAGGTTTTTTTGAAACTCAAAGTAATCCCTGAATGTGCCACTCAATTCAAGATGGCCACCACAGCTAATTAATCTCAGCAGATGCAAAGATGTTTATAACTCAAGTCAGTTTGACAAATATTGAGCTCAGATTTGGTGTGGTAGTAGCTGAGAGTCATTGGGGATGCAGTAGCTCGGCGGTTAATGCTGCAGTCTCGTAGTTCGGAGGCTGCAGGTTTGAGCCCGGGTACAGGGCGTCTGCTGGCTGTGGTGAACCCTGCAGAGGGAAGCAGCCGAAGGCAAAAACGACAGCAGCTGAGAGTCATCCCCAACATGCGCTCTGAGTCCTCATCGATCGTTAGAGAGCTTTTGTAAAGCCTTGACAGTAAGATGGCGGGCAATATGCAAACCTTCAAGGAATGCTAGTTTTTAGTTAGAGATGTGCGACCTTAATTCTAGAATTCTTAGTTCTAGAATTGCACCGCTCCAGGTGGCTGCATGTTGGAGCAGCTCTGTTACTTTCATTCTGAGATTTTGCTTTTGGAAACTTTAATTCCTCTTTTTCTGGATGTAAATCACATTTTTTGGATGATTGTTTCCTCAGGTATCAGATGCTGTGCAGCTGGAAGGATTTTTACTGAAACTTTTTTAGTTTTGGACATTTGTTATGATGTGTAACCATGGCAACAAGGCAGTTTCTACAACCAACAGCTGATTAACATCTCAAAAGCTCAAATAATATCTCAACTATGGCCCCAACTCTCAAATGAGTTGAAAAGGATGTTCTGTGGATGCATTCTCATCTGCCTGCCAGCTGTGCTCGAGTGCCTGATCTCTGAGATCCTGGAACTAGCAGCAGGAAACACGGCTCATGACAGCGGAGGGACAGGATCGTCCCTCGGCACCTACAGTTGGCTGTCCGCAGCTATGAGGAGCTCGGCAGACTGCTGGGAGGAGTGGCCATCGCTCTGGGAGGAGTTCTGCCCGGCATTCAAGCGGTCCTACAGTCCAGGGGAACCAAGAGGCCAGCCGAGTCTGGGTGGACGGATCAGACGGCATCTGCAGCCAGTTTCTTAGGATCCACTGTGGGATGGACCTTTACAAGAGATCCTTCCTGTCTGCAGCCATCAGTGTCTATAACATATCTTAATGAAATGAGGATAATGAGTTACAACAACAAAATAATTTCTCTTTGGGATTAATAAAGTATTATTGAATTGAATTGAATTCAAAATGCTGGGAATTCAACTCCAAGTGTTGAGTCTGCAAATGTGTAACATTTTGGACCCACACTGGGTTTCTGGACTTTTTAAATTACAGACCCAGCATTCTCTGAAGGAATGCATATCACCCACCACCTTTAAAGCCAGAGTCCATCCAGCCAGACATCTCTTTCCACAGCCACCTCCTCTAGCTCTTCCAGGAGGATTCCAAGGCATCTCCAGACCAGCTGAGAGACGTGGTCCCAGCGGAGGGTCGTACCCGGGGTCTCCTCGCAGACATGCCTGGAAAACTTCCCTAGAAGTGCACATCCTGACCAGAAGCCCAAACCACCTCACCTGGCTCCTCTGGGTGTGGAGGAGCAGCGGTTCTACTCTGAGTCACCTCGATAACTGAACTTCTCGCCCTCTAAGGAAGAGTCCAGAGAAAACTCATTTCAACCACTTGTATCTGTGATCTAGTTATTTAGGTCACTGTGCAGAGTTCATGACCATAAGTGAGGGTGGAAACAAAATGGCAAACAGAGAGCTTGTCCTTGCAGCTCAGCTCCCTCTTCACCTCAACAGACCGGAACAGAGTACGTAATACTGCTGAAACTGCACTGATCTGTCTGTGCGTCTCCAATCCATTCTTCCCTCACTCATGAACAAAACCCAGAGAAACTTCAGCTCCTTCACTTGAGGTAGAACCTCACTCCCAACCAGGAGAAGACAGTCCACCCTTTAACAAGTGAGGACCACTTTCCCAACTTTTATTCCTGAGTTTTAAACTCAAATAATTTTGTGTTGAGAAAAGATACGAGTTGCTTTGGTCAAACATTGAAACTAACTTGATGTGCAAACCAACAAAGTCCATGCTCAATAATCCAGGTATACAATCCAACATTTTTCAGTCAGGTCATCTGGACAGTTTCTTTTTTTATGTGCTGAAACGTTTCACCTTCCATCCAGAAGACTTCATCAGTCAAGGAAACACAAAACTGATTCTTCCCCCAACATTCTAGAACTGCGCCGCTCCAGGTGGCTGCATGTTGGAGCAGCTCTGCTACTTTCATTCTGAGATTTTGCTTTTGGAAACTTTAGTTCCACTTTTTCTGGATGTAAATCACATTTTTTGGATGATTGTTTCCTCTGGTATCAGATGCTGTGCAGCTGGAAGGATTTTTACTGAAACTTTTTGAGTTTTGGACATTTGTTATGATGCGTAACCATGGCAACAAGGCAGTTTCTACAACCAACAGCAGCTGATTAACATCTCAAAAGCTCAAGTAATATCTCAGCTACAGCCCCAAATCTCAAATGAGTTGAAAAGGATGTTCTGTGGATGCATTCTCATCTACATGCCAGCTGTGCTCGAGTGCCTGACCACTGAGATCCTGGAACTAGCAGGAAACACGGCTCATGGCAGCAGAAGGACAGGATCGTCCCTCGGCACCTACAGTTGGCTGTCCGCAGCGACGAGGAGCTCGGCGGACTGCTGGGAGGAGTGGCCATCGTGCTGGGAGGAGTGGCCATCGCTCTGGGAGGAGTATTCAGTCCCCTACAGCCCGGGGAACCGAGAGGCCAGCTGAGTCTGGGTGGACAGATCGGACGGCATCTGCAGCCAGTTTCTTAGGATCCACTGTGGGATGAACCTTTACAAGAGATCCTTCCTGTCTACAGCGTCAGCATCTATAACATCTCTTAATGAAATGAGGATAACGAGTTACAACAACAAAATAATTTCCCTTTGGGATTAATAAAGTATTTTTGAATTTGAATTGAATTGAATTACTCCAAAGTGGAACAAACCAGTTATGTTGGTGCTAAGATGGTCTCTTTGGCACGCCCCCTCCTCCGGTGCCGGCCCTCTTCCTCGTCGACAGTCATGTCAAACTGGTTCAAAACCAGCAAAGTCTATGTTCAATAATCCAGGTATACAATCCAACATTTTTCAGTCAGGTCATCTGGACAGTTTCTTTTTTTTGTGTGTGTTAAAACGTTTCACCTTCCTCCTAACTTGATGTGCGATAAAGTGATATCAGATTATGCGTTTTGAATGACTCTCAGTAACTACCGCAACACATTTTAGCTCTGTACTTGTAAATCGGGTTGAGTCAGAACTATTTTTGTGTTTACCAAAGTCACTGAGCTGCGGCGGCCATCTTGAATGTGGCTGACTTCAAAGGCTTACAAGCAGTAGGAGTACATTCAAAGATTAAATTAAAGTTTCATTGAAACTTCATCCAGTGGTCCAGGTATTTTGCTGACAATTGAACTCATGTGTGTTCGTGTGGAGCTCACAGATGTTCTGGTTCTGATGCCATGAACAAGAGAGGTAACGTCCGGGTCAGCCGCCTGCCCTTGGTGCACTCTGATGGCTCCTGGTTCTGGATGGGTACTGTGGACCCTCCTCACCGCCGGTGGGGTCTGAAGCTGGGACCAGCAGATTTTAATAAAGCACAATAATTAATGTATGCAGCACCAACTTTTCATAACAACCAAATTAAACTTACACCTGGCATTTCTTGTAAGCAGGCCTTTACGCTGTCTCCTATAGGTTTTAATTTCCCAGCCTACAGTAAAAAAAATAAAATAATAATAATAATGACATTATTCACAAAGAAAAAACGTTTTCTGTGATGATGTTAGCTTGGAGCTAGCTAACACAACGAGTTAGCATAAGTTGTCTTACCCTCGGCGTTTTCCCGCTATTATCTTCAGATTTTAGCTTCCAGGAGGAGTTTTTATCAATCAAATCCATCTTAAATCCACGTAAAGACAAGCCAGTCTTATTTACTACGCAGATATTTTACAGCCTACCGAGCACAAAAAGGTTTAACGGCAAAGACGTTTTCAGAGGTCCGAGTTCCGTTGCCTAGCAACCATGACGCCGACGGACGGTATTAAGTTCCGCTAATTTTTGTTTTTACTTTTTTAAACAAAGTACAATTTAATTTTAGTGTCCAAAAATATTTTCTTTACCGTTTTAAAAATAAACACTTTAATCAACTGGAATAAATATTATTATAAATATTGTCGGAGACGAATTGACATTAATTGTAAGGCATGCCGAGGTGTCATATAATAGTTAGGACGGAAATTTTCACTTTTTGTGTCAAAAATGAACTACATTACCCACAATGCCTTTCGTTCAGTTTAGTGTCAACACGTCCCATGTCTAAAACTTTAAATTCCCAAAACAACCGGTGTCTCTTCTTTTTTTTTAATGATTATGCTCCAGATACAAGAACATTTTTTTCTACCAAGAATAAACATTGTGTCCAAACATATTTATATAACTATAAAAAACGTTTTTAAATTAGAGATATCCAATCCATACTATGACTAATAAAAAGCGATTTGTTACTTAAATAACTGCAGCCATGTTTATAAACAATCCATCCACTTTTTTATTTCTGGTCATGGGGTCCACTAGTGCCCATTTCCAGCAGCCACTGGGAAAGGCACAGAGCCAGGATTTGATCCGACAACCTTTTTGCTGAGAGGCAGCAGCTCTGAGCTACAGCGCTGCCCTTGTGCCACCAAAGAAATTATTTTTTTTGCAAAACCGTACTGTTGAATAGCTTGGCTGACGTTAAAAGCAGCAAAATGTTAGTTAAAGAGAAAAGCAACCAAAGTCTGATTTAAAGCTAAATAGGAAAATATTAAGACAGACGTATCATTCATTCAACATTCAACAAAGCTTTCAACATGTGGCTTACAAGAGAGATGAGCGTCAATTAAAACTCCCAAGTATTTGTAAGAATCTACAAACTCAATAGGGGCATGATGCAAGGAGGAAGAAATGCTGGAAACAACTTCCTGTTTGAAAACAACATCCCTTTGTTTTTATCAGCATTTAGCACCAGTTTGAGATGGAACAAGTGACTGGATAATGTCAAATGCAGACGGCAGAAGCTGGAAAACCTTAGCAACTGTGTTAGCTCGACATTAAACAATTGTGTTGTCAGCATTTAGAGATGCAAGGAGGCGTCAGGCACGTTTTGACCTACAATATTTATATAAATTGTAAAAAGAGTGGGTCCTAAAACTGAGCCTTGTGGCACACCATTAGTGACGATTAAATAGCTAGATGAAGTGCTGTTGTGTCGAGCACATTGCCTCAGATCAGAGAGATAATTAGAAAACCAACCAATAATGTGATCTGAGAAAACCAGTATCTGAGATCTTGTGACATAAGATGTTGTACTGATCCACAGTGTCAACGCTTTAGACAGGTCTAAAGTGCAGCGCAATCCTTAGTATCAAAAGGCTACAAGTCAAAATATGTAAAAGCTAAAATAAGCAGAACACAAGTTAAAAGCTAAAACAAACAGAAGTTTAGCTAAAGACTAAAGATAAATAATCAGGTCTCTCTTGTAAATGAGTCCTCAAGGCTCAATGGGATTTATCTGTATAAATCAATCAATCAATCAATCAATCAACCTTTATTTAGACAGGTAAATCTCATTGAGCCTCGAGGACTCATTTACAAAAGAGACCTGTTTTAAACAAAGTACACAGATGATGTACAGACAACCATATAAAAAGCCTATAAAATGAAAAGTAAATAGAGTAACTTATATAAAGACGAAAGAAAAACAGCCACATTATAAAGCAATATAATTAAAATACTAAAAACAGGAACATGTCTGCATCGGTTTTTGCAATGAACTTAACAGTTATTTAAATCCCCTAGAGTGGTCAAAGCTGGCATCTTCAGATCTTGTTGCAAAGTGTTCCAGGAAACAGGAGCGGAGTAGGAGAAGGCCTTTTCGTCAAGTTCAGTCCGCACTGAGGGGACGCTGCAGGAAACGATGTCCCGAGAGCGTGCACGCCGTAGCTGCACTGACGAAGTGACGTCTAGGAGGGGATGTGAAGGCAGCAGACCACGAATTCAAAAAAGTTCAAGACAAAAAAACAAAAGGCAGCAGACCAAGATGTGATTTAAAGATGGAAATGTACTAGTGAGGGAGTCTGCGTGAAGTTAATGATACCATACCATACCATACCATACCAATTTATTTATATAGCACTTAAAACAGCAACAAGGCCAACCAAAGTGCTGTACAAAAGAACACAAACATGCACAGCAGACAGGAAAACATAAAATAGAAATACAGATACAAATAGCAGCAGAAGCTAACTAAAATGGCCAACAGAGTAGAGAACAGACCGGACCAAAACAAATCACACCGTGTTAAAGACAAGCGAATAGAAGTGGGTCTTCAAGCGAGACTTAAAGACTGAGAGTGTGGGAGCCTGCCGGACACTCAGTGGCAACTCATTCCACAGTCGTGGACCTGCGACAGAGAAAGCCCTGTCACCTCTGAGCTTACGACGGGTTTCTGGGACTGAGAGAAGCATCTGGTCTGCTGACCTCAGAGAGTGCGGTGGGACATATGGCTGCAGAAGATCAGGGAGATAGGATGGGGCGGAACTGTTCAGTGATTTAAAAACATACATGAGAATTTTGAAATGGATCCGAAGGTGAATGATGACCAACAACCCTGTAAATACTGAGTACGGTAATTACAGCCAGATTGATTATTAAAATGACCATTTTGTAGAGTTCTTGAAATAAAATTTTTACTCATAAAATAATATTTAGAAAAGCTTCCATTTGAATCCTTAGTACCGGTGTTTAGAATATACACTACAACGGCCTGCCATACATGATCTGTCATCGTCCTCCGTACAAAAGGGAAGTTGAAAGAAGTGGGAGAGGGAGACAGCGGAGAAATCTAACGTTACTGTGTCTGACTGGATACTTTGTGAACAGACATCGAAGAGCTGAACATATTGTCCCGGAAACGTCTCGTTCTTCCCCCAGACTTCTTTTCTTTTGGTAGGTGAGTAGCTGAAGCTAAAGGCTAACCGGAGGGCTCCTCCCGGAGCAAGCGGCCCTAGCTAAACATTCACCCAGCTAGCCAACAGCTCTTCACGAGCCGGCCTGGTAGTTGACGCTGAACCGTTGAATTATCCGGTTGGACGAGCGCTGCCAGGTCGGGAACACGGTGCCAGTCCTTTGTGATCCGGTCGGTTCGGAGCGCCGATCGTTGAGGCGGACAAGCGTCATGCGGCTAGCCTCGTTAGCTGTACACACCCAAACCTGCTAAATCCCACGTTCTGACACGTTACATAAGTGTCAGAACCGGAGTCTGGCAGCCTGTGAATCATGAAAGCACCCGCCTTTAAGCTACTGTCACACCGACCGGATCAACTGTCACAACAAGTTTGTTTTGGGCTGGACACTTTCAGCTCATTTAGCTTCTGCGCTGCTAATGTTAGCCGCTACCGCTAATCTGAGCTAACAGCAGTCCGACTTGTTCATGTGTCACAAAAACATTTCTGCGAGTTTGATGCCATTTACTTTGGCTTTGAGAGTCTGTGCTCACTTGGAGGAAAGAAGAGCTACTCTGTTGTTGTTGTTGAATCGAAACTAATTCCTACAACCAATCTATAAAAGCTTTAATTGACCAAAGGTCTGCAGTTGTTTATCTCTTGTTGTTTATGCATATGTTGTTTTAAACTTTGTGTATACGTTTCTGCATTGACGAAGCCTTTCCAGATGTGTAAGCTGCCCATGCCAAAGGCACTAATGCACCCATATACCATCAGGGAGGCAGGCTTTCTTTCCGTTGCGTTCAAAAACAATCTCCATATTTGAAGTTTTGACCACAGAACAGTTCCCCGCTTTGTCTCAGCCCATTTTAAACGAGCTTCCAGCGGTTCTGGACGGTGTTCACGTCTGGCCTCTTGTTTTGCCTGATAGAGCTTTAAGCAGTGTTTGAACTGTGTTTACACATGAACGTTCCTGAGCCCGTGCAGTGATAAGATATTATGAGCTGTTGATGATGGGATATTCAGTCTTTCCACTTTCCCATTTAGGAACATTATTTTCAAGTTGTTCCACCATTTTTAGAATAATGTTTCTGCAGCCTGGTGAACCTTGGCCCATCTTTACTTCTAAAATGTTTACACCTGGTCCTCGTACTGTCCTGTTGCCAATTATCCAAATTAGTTGCAAAAAGCTCCTCCTGCTCTGTCTTGTGGGGACCGTTAACTTAAATAAAACGATAATTTATTGTACACCGTCTCGAATATTTTGAGATGTTGCTGACATCAAACTTAATATCCTTTCAGATGTTCAGTGAGTTTCAACGTTTCATGCTTTTATTATGAATAATTTGTGTTTTGAGGTTTGCAAATCCCTGCCCTCTATTACTTTTTCACATTTTACACAACTTAACGTCGTGGAAATCATAGACTTCAACAATACAGCCGAGATGTCCGGCTCAACCGGGACTCAAAACCGTTGAAGAATCTAGTTTTTGGCATAAACCGTGAAAAGACTTTTTTTTTTTTTTTGTCTGGATTTAAAACTGTTCGGTCTCAGCTGATTCATAGACCTCATTGTTCTGGTTGAACTTTAAGGTTATTAGTACAAAAAAAATCTGGTTTTAAACAATAAGAGTCTCTACATCGGGCAGTAAATTTCTTAACTGGATCCTAAAGTAGGTGTGAAACCAGTGGAGGGACGCCATGTTTGATGTGACGTTTAATTTTGTTGTCATCGAGGCAGGCGGGTACCGGTAGTTGTAATTTGAACCTGGAGGCACCGGAGTGACGAGCCGAACGTAAAAACAGTTCCAGCTGATCCAAACTGGAAGACGTGAGCGTTGAGCGGATCTCAAAGCACCGACGCCTTAAACATCTCGTTTAAACACTGAAGATAAACAGCAGCACACAGTTTCGATATTTCCCCAAATCAAAGAAGAAATACTTTTAGATACAAACATAAAAAAAAAAAAAAAAGGCACAATATTAATCAGACGTCATTCTTTTGGTTTTATTTATTGAGCAAACACAACCTGAGCCTGAACATGTTTACCTACATTTAATTATTTTTACATTATTTTTTAATTTAACAGTTTGGAAGATTATTTCATGTTTCGTACATTATCAAAACAAGCTCCACTAAAATCTTTCTTTTTTTAAACAAACGATAAGAATATAACTTATAAATAACATCTGATGGTATTAGATTGTTCAAATAAAATAAATGTATTTATCTTTGTTTGAAGCAGACGTGCACAGATTGTAGTTTTCTGGGCCGATGCATATTTTCCTGTAAAGAACTTTGTAACAAATATTGACCAGAAACAACTTCGATCGACTTAAATAAATAAAAAACTGCATTAGTTTTATTTTTCAGGCTTTTTCTCTTCAGATAACGAAGAAGAACTTTTACTAAAATACATTTTGGGCGTCAGATGTCTGCACGTCTCGGAGGCTGTTGGCTGTAGATATATTTACTGAATATTCTTCATCTTTATTTTCAGCTGCTGCCCAACCTGAGGTCCCCCCCCCCCCCCCCCCATATAACCTGAGCACCACCCAGACCAGACTCTCAGCCGTCAGTCAGTTTGGAGATTAGAACGGCACAGTGATTATTTTTTCTGATTTGGAGGCTTGTCTTTTCTTACCTTTCTCAGGTGTTTTCCAGTTTTTGTTGCGTTCGGGGGCCACCGCCGCCGCACGGTGACATGGCCAGTAGAGGCGGAGCCACACGACCCAACGGGCCGAACGCCGGCAACAAGATCTGCCAGTTCAAACTGGTGCTGCTGGGAGAGTCGGCGGTGGGGAAGTCGAGTCTTGTGCTTCGTTTTGTCAAGGGTCAGTTTCATGAATTCCAAGAGAGCACGATTGGAGGTGGGTATGCTGAAAAGACCCGGCTTTTACGTTTATGTGCGTTTACGGGCCGTCGGAGGGGAACAATAAATCATTGAGGAGAAAAACAGGAAAAGAAATGATGCAGAAAGTCCAACGAGACGTTGATGAAATGTTTGTTAAACCTTTGAAAGAAATCTACCAAACGGGACAAGATGCAGCTAAAGAAGATGGAGGGAAAATCCTTTCATTCACTGAGGAGTTTAGGAAATGTTCTGAACAGTCACTATCTTACCTGCTGCAGATGGCTTTTTGATCAACCACAGTTTAAAGAGACATAATTTGTTCCTGACGAGCGGACGGCTGGTCTGAGTGGGATTGAATGTTTTTCTTTGTTGTCCAGTCACGTTACGACTCGCTTTGACTCCTCGGGTCTACACGATCTTCGTGGTTTTCATCTGACTTTAGTGTCGCCTCCATGTGGGCGGGACCATCGTAGCACGACCGACCGAAACATGTGGGACGTTGTTTTCTATCCAAGGAAAACGCAACACATGAACAGGCCAAAACGCCACTCCCCATTCTCTGCCGCGGTTTGTTAAAATGCCCAGTTCCACTTGAAGCCACCTTCCCTCCGCTGGTCCAGTCCCGTACATTGAGTCCATTTGGTCTGACGCCCTCTGACCTACGTCGTCGGCCAACAAGCACAGAATCATCTGCGCCTCCTCATAGTGCCATGTTGACATTTCAGTGGATATTTTTTATATATAAAAAAAATAAAGATAAAAATCAAATCCTGGGGTTGCAAGTTTTTCTTGTATTTTTTTGAAACGGTGGGTTTGATTCTCGTGAAGGAGGCGCTCTCACGACTGACGCTCTGTCCAGGGTCCTGCTGACATCAGATCTTCAGTTCGACTCGGTCGCTCCGAACCTCGACCGAGTGGGTTTTAAGAACCAGTCTGGAAGCGGGCGAGACCACTCGGTGATAAGACTCAAAGCAGCACCGAGTCCACCCAAGAGGGGTCGAGATGAGTTCATGGAAAAGACTCGGTGAAGTGGAGCCCTGGCACCTGAAATGCATCAATTCATACAATCCTTTTTTTTTTTATCAACCTCTATCCTGCTGTCAGTTTCACATCACTATTCTGGTAATTGTACTAAATCTCTGCAGGAAGTGCACTAGGATGTGCTATAGCTAGCTGCTGCTGCCATTTATATTTATACTTGTAAATAACCCTAAAATTAAGGTTAATAACTATAAACCATAAAGTGGCAGCAATTAATTGTCAGAGTCAGAGATTCTTTATTGTCATTCGCACCTCATGTGGTACATGTGGTGGAACGAAATTATGTCCACAGGGTCCCAGTTACATCCAACAATAAAATGTAAAAGAAGAACAATAATAAGATTAAAGATATGAACTAAGAACAACATCAACTAAATATACACTAAGCACATTTTGGTCTCCGCATTACATTTGCCTCGTACCTGGGAACTCTTGACCTGGGAACTTGGATCTGGGAACGATGTCAGACTTTACGGTACTCGGTAGAAAGTGCTGTGTGAGAAACTGGATTTCCGAGATGAAAACTGACAGAAATTAAAACTTCTTGCCGACGCCGAACTAAAACTACAATCCAACATTTTTCAGTCAGGTCATCAGGACAGTTTCTTTTTTTTTTTGTGCTGAAACGTTTCACCTTCCATCCAGAAGGCTTCATCAGTCAAGGAAACGCAACAAAACTGATTCTTCCCCCAACAGCTTACTCCAAAGTGGAACAAACCAGTTCTGCTTGTGATAAGATGGTCTCTTTGGTACGCCCCCTCCTCCATTGCCGGCCCTCTTCCTTGTTGACAGTCGTGTCAAACTGGTTGAAAACAACAAAGTCCATGCTCAATAATCCAGGTGTACAATCCAACATTTTTCAGTCGGGTCTGGTGAAGGACTGATGAAGCCTTCTGGACTGAAGGCGAAACGTTTCAGCACAAATAAAGAAACTGTCCAGATGACCTGACTGAAACATGTTGGATTATATACCTGGATTATTGAGCACGGACTTTGTTGTTAAAACTACGACTGTTTGTGGATTTTGAGGCCGGGACTCCAGAGTTACGACTTTGCCGGGTGTTCTGATTGATTTTACCAACCTGGAAACTGAATCTCTGACTCCAGAGTAAAACATGTTGGCAACAGTAGCATCACTTGGACTGGCCAATAGCTCGTCAGTCCATTCAGAACCAGAGTCTCTCTTTAAGAGCCATCTGTAACAGGTAAGATATTGTACATTCAAGTGATGTTTTAAAGAACTGTGGCAGAACTATGGTGGATTCCCAGATGATCACTTCAGTGTGTTGCGTACATAATCCCACCATTAATGAACAACAAACTTCTTGGACATTAGGTCAGATTTCATCCATCAGGGTCTCCTGTGGCTGAAGGAAAAGTTTCAGATGTTCGCTGCACCGTTCAGTCAGGTTCTCGCGTTGGGACACGTGGAACCAGATGAGCTTGTCGTTGCTCAGTTGTCGCTCTCTGCCCTGCAGCTGCCTTCCTGACTCAGACGGTATGCTTGGATGACACGACGGTCAAATTTGAGATCTGGGACACGGCGGGTCAGGAGCGGTACCACAGCCTGGCTCCCATGTACTACAGAGGCGCCCAGGCGGCCATCGTGGTTTATGACATAACAAACGAGGTGAGCCGGGTGTTGTTACCTCTGAATGTTGTCACCATGAGGGACGGGCTGTTTTTATTTGAATGATTGCAGTCAGGCTAAAGACAGAAGTGTATTTTTACGCCTGTGACTCGTTGAGAGATGACTTTTCAACATGTGTCCAACATTTATTGACCTTCTTCACTCGGGTCATTGATTTTTAAAAGGTCACCTCTGGATGTTTAAAATCAAACCGATAGCTTAAAGAGAACTAACTCCATCTTCTGTTTGCTTTAATTATTAAAGAACGAATCACCTTTTACCTTCGTTTAGATGAAGTTATTGATCACAGGCTGCAAAAAAGAAAATCTCCTCATTCGACATCTATTGGTCCTTTACCTGGAGGCAGACTGGGACGGGTTCAGGTCTCCATCACTGTCCTCCAGCACCAGGACAAGGTCCACGGGTCGTTTAGTGCCGGATCACACAGAAATAATTTAAACTTTCCTCTAGAAATAAACCCATATAAATATTTTTGGTCTTTGAGGTATTTTATTTTGAAAAATGACCACTTCTGTTCACGACTATTTCCTGCACACGACTTCAGGCACTTTGACAAATGCTTCATGAGGCCTCTAGCTGCCTCGGTGTGATTTCTAAACATACCGGGGGCAGGGGGGGGACTGCACCTTGAGTCACACTGAGGTAGTAGCAGAGCCGAAACGTGAAGTTGTTGTATTTCAGCTTTGTGGCTCATGAATGTGATGAAATGGGTGTTCGATCCTGGTCCTGGAGATCCACTGCAGGTTTTACTTGTTTCCCAGCCCCAACGCACCTGATTCAATGCTTCAATCACCTCCATGCAAGCGGGAGCCCCCGCTGATGTAAAGCAGGTGTGTTGGAGCAGAGAAACATCAAATATGCAGGACAGTGGCCCATCAGGACCAGGACTGGACACTTGGACTGGTTCATTTTGAATGTGTGAGCTTCCTGCTCTTCGTGCTAAACGCACAAACAAAAGTTTGGGGAACAAACACGTCTGCCACTAATTTAATTCTCTTCTGTTCATGTTTAGTTTTTACAGCCAGAGGCAGCTGAAAGAAAAACGGTTTGCCTTCATCTTATGAAATTTTCTTTAGTCGCAGTTATTTTACTTTTGCCACCAAACCTAGGAGCCGACTCCGAGTTTGGACCCGACCTCGACTTTAATGCCTTCAGTTCAGCTCCACACCAAACCCTCAGCAGCTACTGGGCGTCGGAGAAAAACCTACAAAAACCAGCAGAAATGAGTAGAAAGTGAACTTTTCAGGAGAACTCTCGCCTCTTCGTGTATAAAAAGTTGTTTTTGTACGAAGTGTCTGAAGCTTTGCAGTGATCAAAATGTTTGGAAGATATTTATCTTTTCAGATTTTATTTCTTGTCAGACGTTCCCCGGCCTGTTTCTCTATTTATTTTAATATGTATACCTTCACTGCTCCTCTTTAACTGATACAAATACAACTGTTATTGCTCTCTGGGTCATTTCATTAGTTCATGAAGCATCATTTTAATAACTCGTCCTCCTTCTGGGTCTCTGACGTGACCTTTGATCCTCGTCTTCCATCGTAAGGACGTGATTTTTCGTCTAACGAGGCGCTCCTCACCCGTGTCTGCTCTGTTTGCCAGGATTCGTTTGTTCGAGCGAAGAACTGGGTCAAAGAGCTTCAGAGACAAGCCAGTCCAAACATTGTAATAGCGCTGGCTGGGAACAAGGCGGATCTGATGAACAAGAGAGCTCTGGACTTTCAGGTTTGTCCTTTTTATAATCGGGGCTGAACGTCACGAGTTTTTCTAGAAGCAACGTAAACGTGATTTTTATGACCTCGTTTGCTTTTACTCACTTCAGTCGTTCTTTAAAACTGAAGCTCTGAGTTATTTTAACTAAAGATTCCTGATGTTCCTCTGCAGGACGCTCAGTCGTACGCAGACGACAACAGTTTGCTCTTCATGGAAACTTCAGCCAAGACCTCCATGAACGTGAACGAGATCTTCATGGCCATCGGTAGGTGTCAACAACAACAACAACAAAAAAAGGGTCCCCCCCCCCGTTATGTCCACTAACAACAGATTACGTCCCCTAGTTTTGTCCTTTGAGTAAGACTTTGTCTCAGACAGGAAGTGTCTCCTCTCAGTACCGCTCATGTTAAACATTTCAGACCAGGAAGTTCTCTTCAGTAACTAATGTGGGTTAAAAGGCACCATGTCACTTTTATAGATTAAAAACAACTCATCGGTGATGGACAGGACGAGCTGAAGTGCCACAGCTGAACTTATTCTCACATTTTTACAGATAAATGAAACGGGAACACGTTGGTGGCTGTTTTAACTTGAACTAAATTTATCATAAACTAATTTCTTAGTTCAGTCAAAGATAAAGTTAGAACACTTCCTGGATTTGAGACTGGGCCAACCGAGGTTCCTCTGGGACGAGATGAGCATGAAGTCAGACGTCCAAAAGACTTGACGTCCCTCTCGTCTTTAAACTTATTAAACTTCTTTACTGTCCTGGGTGTAACTGGAAATATTCCCAGTGTTGTGAGCGTGCACGCTTGAAAAATAAGTCGGGTACAGACTTTCATTTTGGTGTGGCTCCATCTAGGCATAAGAAAGGTTCCTACAGAAAATGGGATTCCCAGGTCAAAATCCAAGATGGCCACCGCCATGTATGCGTGTAAACTGGCCGCACTGATCGTTTGAGGAAACAATGATTTTATATTGCTTAAACATATAGTTTCATCAAATGATTGGGGTGGCCTAAGATTAATATATATATGGGGGCCAAAGCCACCATTGGCCACCCCCTGTCTCCACCACTGCACCGGGTGGTGGTGTCATTGTGTCTCCGTTGTCCACCGTTGAATCAGGTCTCTCTTGTAAATGAGTCCTCGAGGCTCCATGAGACGAACCTGTAGAAATACAGATTGAATATAAAATGACTCTCTCCACTCACCAGGTCTAAAGCTGAGGATGCAGAACTCGCCTTTTACTTTGAAAGGACTCGGAGGACATGCTGGTTTCAGCAGGTTTTTGTTTGACGTATAAAAGATGAGAGAGCGCGTCTGATGGGGGACCACAGACTCCGTGACGTCTCAAAGCACGTAAAGACAAGCGAGCGCGTCAAACCGGTGAGGGCGACCGTTTGATGGTAAACAAACATGGCCGACAATCGGCCCGCTGCAGCTTCACTTCCTGCGTTTTATTAGGAAATGTTCACGGGTCTCGTCACGTGACCCGACAGCCTCCAGAAGTTCAAACCCGTTTGACGAGATCAGCACAGACCAGTGTGGGAATCCTGGGTAAACCGAGTCCAGTTTGTAAAGAGACGGACTCGTTCAGGGTTCATGTTTTAATAAAACTGGCTTTTATCAGTGGAAAGTAAAAAGGCAGTTTTAAGAACAAACAGTTTGGTTTTGACAGAGTTTGTCCACTAGATGGAGCCGTAAGAGCTTTTTAACCCTGTCCGCCACAAACTGCTGGAGTTTAACAGTTTGATGAGACTAGAATACATTTCCTGTTGAAAGATGAAAAAAGGACCAGTGGATTAAACATGTTGGGATTTTTTCTTACAGGAAGTTTAATTCAGACTCGTGTGTTTCCCTTTGACGGTTTTGTCAACATAAACTGAAAATTATCGTTAAAGCAACATTTTTTTATTTTTATTCATTCAACCTTTATACAGGTTAGTCTCACTGAGTCACGAGAACTCGTTTTCAAGAGAGACCTGTTTTAAACAGACAACATATAAAAATCAATAAAAGTAAAATGGTTATAACAGTCGAATCAAGATGCCATATAAAAACAGGAGCAGAGTAGGAAAAGGTCTTTTTGCTGAATTCGGTCCGCACTGAGGGAACACTGCAGGTAATGATGTCGTGAGAGCGCACGTTGTAACTGCACTGACGACGTGACATGTGGGAGGAGATGTAAGAAGGTAGCAGACCAAGGAGGGATTTAAAGATGAACCAGCATGAGAGCTTACATGTAGATGATGCTGACCAACTGACCAGTGAATACTGGGTGCAGTGGTGGGTACGGTAGTTGCAACTAGTTCTGAATCTTTGTGCACCATAGACGGCATCCAACATCTGGAAGCAGCTGGCAGGAGCATTCATGTAAATGTCATCATAGTTTAGTGGCTGGTAAGAAGGTAGCAGCTACAAGATGTTTCTTGGCATTCAGAGTTAAACTAGATCTATTTCTGAAAAATAAACCCAGTTTTAATTTTAGTTGATCAGTTTTCAACATACGGCTTTAAAGAGAGATGTGCATCAATTACAATTCCCAAGTATTTGTAAGAATCCACGAACTTGATAGGAACATCAAGCAGGATGAGATGGAAGAAGAACTGCTGGCACCAACTTCCTGTTTGAAAACAACTTCCCTTTGGTTTTATCAGCATTTAGCACCAGTTTGAGATGAAACAAGTTTGACTGGAAGATGTCGAATGCAGACTGTAGAAGCTGGAGACCCTTAGCAACTGTGTTAGCTCGGCAGTGAACAACCGTATCATCAGTGTAGAGATGTAAGGAGACGTCAGGAATGTTTTGACCTGTGTTACTAATAACAATTATAAAAAGAGTGGGTCCTAAAACTGAACCTTGTGGTACACCATTAGTGACCGTCAAATAGCTAGATGAAGAACCGTTGTGTCGAACACATTGCATCTGACCTGAGAGATAGAAGCACCTTTTGTATTTTCAGCTTGGAAAATTAAATACAAATAAAAACCGGTTCCTCAGATTCATCCCAGAATCAATGAGATGAACTCGACACGCTTCAGATTAACTTTAATCTGAGTTGATTAAAAATCGTCTCGGACGTCGGTGTGATTCCTGACAGTGTGTCGTCGTCTCCGCAGCAAAGAAGCTCCCGAAGAACGAGCCTCAGGCGTCCGGAGCCGGCAGCGGGCGGAACCGGGGCGTGGACCTGACGGAGACAGCTCAGCCCACCAGCCGTTCCTGCTGCACCAACTCAACCCCCCCCCCCCCCCCCCCCCAACAGAACATCTGGGCGTCGGGCTCTTTGGTTTCTGGACGTCAGACCCGCTCTCCACCCTCACTTCCTTGGAATAGCGAAAAGACTCTGTATAGCTGCATTTCTAATAACTTTTTGTTGTTGTTGATGTTCTTTTTTTAACTTTTTTAAAGAAGTGTATATCAGTATAATGGATGCATGTGTCACTACAACTCCTTACAACACATTTTCATCGTTTCTTCGGTTCAAAGACTAACCCCGACTTCGTGAAAGCTGAGAGAGTTCTGATGAGACGGTGCAGTTTGTCTCAGCGCGGAGTTGACTGGACGGTTTAAATTGTTGAAATTCTCGACTTCCCGACTGTTTTTGTCGAACGTTTGTGTGAAGATCGGGTCAGGAACTCCTCTAAAACACAAGAAAACACCCGTTTCCTGCTGGAGAACAGAAGAAAATAATGTTTAAAAAAAAAAAAGTCTCCAGCCTTGTGACGCCATCAGCAGGAAATGAAAAGACTGTAAATGAGGGGATGCTCCTTTTGGATCGGGGGAAGTCTGTGCCTCGAGTGGAGGGGTTCCAGTACCTGGGGCTTGAAGGGATTCAGGACTGAGCAGGAGATGGATCCATGGATTTGAGGCTTGTTGCTCCAGGTCTAGAGTTCCTGGTCTGTCTACAGTCCAACCCTCAACTGTCGTCATGAGGTTTGGATCATGGCTGAAAGAACGAGGTCCACCCGAGTGTCCTTCGTGGGGCGGTCGGGCTCAGTTTTAGGTAGAGTAAGGAGCTCGGAGTTGAGCCGCTGCTCCTCTGCATCAAAGAGTCAGCTGAGGTGGTTCAAGTGTCAGATATGCTTCCTGAACCTGTTGCTCCAGCAACCGGACTACGACAAACGGCAGAATATGGACAGACCCATGTGACGACTGAAGACTGCCCTGCTCTGCTCCAAAGTCTTGTAAAGACCTAAACATGTTATTGGACAAGGTCGAGTCTGGTCCTCTGGACGGGTTCTTCTTTGTTGAACCGTTTTGTCTTTTATCCAAAAGACTTCTTCAGACTCGTTACATTTGTCTACCTGAATTATTGAGCGTTCTTCTGGACTAAAAACGTTTTATTCTTGGACTGGGTTTTCAATTCCATTTCTGTTCAGACCAGTCATCAGCCTCTGGTATTTTAGTGGACCTGAATCGTGCACTCCTGAGTCCTCGCACACCAAGAGATCCAAACAACATTTGTAGACAAAGTCCATTTTTGCTGCTTTTGTCAATGAGAAAAATTGCAATGGTTAGTGCTAGTGATTAGTTCTAAATATTTTAGGACAATTTAGCCTTTTTCCATTGTCCAGTCTCACCATGACTAGCTTTGACTCTCCGGTGGTTTTCCATAGAACTCGTGGACCGGATCTTCAAAGTGTGGCCACCAGAAACTTCTGTCCAAGGCAAACAACACAGCAGTGGGCAAACGAGTGAAATAAAGAAAACGCAAGTCGGCCACGGTCTCCAAAAATTCTGTGATCGAGTCGAGGCCACCTTCCCTCCACCGGTCAGAGCTTGTAAATCGAGTTCATTCGGTTTCGCTCCATCTAAATTCTGTCGGCCAACAAGCCCAGAAACGTCTGAACTTCAACGTGGCACCACCGTGATTAAAAACGGTGGGTTTGATTCTTGTTGAAGAGACTCGTGATTGGCTGAGGAGGTCCTAAGAACCCACCTGGAAGCGAGACCACCCAATGGGAAGCTGGGCCGAGTTTAACTCATGAAATAAGACCAGTTTCCATCACTACTGGTTCTGAGGATCTTGAGTCGTCGGAGCGTAGCTACGTGGTGGTGACGAGTGTTTCTGGTGCACCAGTAAAGTTTCCTCCAAGACTTCAATAACTTAAACGTCTTCTTGTGGCCATGGGGTCCGTCTCAAGCGCTGCCGTGTTTGTAGCTCGTCTCGAACGACTTGTAACGGTTCTAATCTGTGCGTGTTCGTGCCGTACGTCCAAATATGATCCAATGTTCAAAAACTACAAACGAGAGAGAAATGTTCCTGCCTTCCTCTCAGCTCTGCTCCAACGACTTGAACGTCGTGTTTTAGTCGATGTGAAAAACACAAGTGATGCTCTTTAGGGCCAGACTCGGCAGTCCGCCTGCATCTTAAAGAGAAGGGACACTTGAGGACGACGGTTTGAGAGGGGCAGGCAGAGGACACCGTTATATCAAATTAAGATTTTAAATATTTTTTTTAAGTGCTGATACTTTCTGCTCTCATCAACCAAGGCAGCAGAACTGGACTTGACCTTCACGATTCATGAACTCTGGCAGAAGCTTTTAGAAGTCGACCAACGGAAACAGAAAACCTGATTTCTTCTCGTCGTCTGTGAAGATGTCCTCTGACGTCGGGAAGTTTAAAGTTGTACAGTTTAACACTCGTCTGCTTTTTATTTTTACCTTCCACATCCTTTCACGAACAGGTCTCATGTTAGAAACCGTGGTGGTCCTTTTAGCTAAATGTGGTGTCTCTAACAAAATCCCTCTCTGGTGTTACTTTTTATTTTAAAGTTCTTTTTTCTTAAAAGAAGAAGAAGAAGAAAGGTCAAACACCACCATGGGGTGGTGTTTGAAAGGAACCTTTGCACAGTGTTGATCATGTTTTAATTATTGATGCGGACCCTTTGGGTTTATACAAACGACTGTTTTGGGTTTGCTAACCTTCGGTTCTGGGCGGGTAGCATCAGTAACCTAACCGGGGGTCCCTCATTACAGCTCAGTGATTTTTAATGATGTAAAACAGCATTACTAGTGATGGGCTGATCAGTTTGAGTGTCTGAAAACAGCTTAATAAATCCAAAAAACACGTCTCTTTGTTTGTATTTTTTGCTTGAATTAAAAATGAAACACTAGAGTTGGAAACACTCGTGTTCTGGACTGTCCCGTTCTGAACACGAGGCTGCTGACGACAGACATCTGTTGGTTTTGCTTTAAGTTGCTGTCGCCCGTACACGGTGCCATTACAGAACTTACCGCTGGAAACGTCGCACAGCCGTATAAGTCGCATCAGTCGGCTGCATTTCAAAAGCCAATTGGCAGAAGCGGGAGCACAGAGGGACGACTCGCTGTGCATTTCTTTGAAATTTAACAACATAACCACTTTGTTTGCTCCAAGTTATAGTAAAGGTGTGTTTCGGTTGAACGTTTCCTTAATAAATGCACGTTGACGGTCAAATCGGCTGCATTTCACCTGGGCAGCGCGGAGAAATGCAGGTGGTTTGGTACGGCAAGCCAAGTGCCTCATTAACAGCCACTTTTACCTATTAATGAGTCACTTTGCCATTACAGCCACTCCAGGACCCTCTAGTGGATGTAATGGTAGTGTTCAATATTTTCCATGTCGGAATGAATGAAATTGTCAGATTTCAGCCAAATATTGGGTTATAAATATGAAGAAAAAAACAAATGCATCACTTTTCTGGATAAGTCGCAGGCGTGCTAATTTAAGTAAAAAACTGACTTATACAGCAAAAAATCCAGTAAATAGGTTGTCTCTGGGGACTCGTACTATATAACTTAATGTTTGTAGTTTGGATCACTGAAACTTGCCTGTAAAAGTAGAACTACGTGATGAGATGAACACGTGTTAAGAAGTGAACTACACTGTACACTAAAGTAGAACGTAGTAACCCTCCTGTCGCCGTTAGACCACGGCGTTTAACGCAGACTCTTTTGTTCCCAGGTGGAGAGAAGACTCGCACCAACACAAGTAACAGCTGACAAGAATAAAGTTTTACTATTTAATTTTGTTTAAGGCAGGAAGATCTACCGGCTCGGTGTTACGAGGGTCCTGGAAGATGAAGCCCCGATCACAGGAAGCGTCCGTCCCCATATCTTCTGAAAGGGGTCGGGAGCTCGGCCTTTTGTGCATCAGTTCTTATTGATGTGTGCCAGTAAGGCTCATCTGGTTCCATCAAAGCGTTTTTGGGAGTTTGTGTGCAACTGACCTTGTGTGCATGTGGCAGATAAACAAAACCCTCTCCTTATAATATATAATTAATAATCCAGGTATACAATCCAACAATTCTCAGTCAGGTCATCTGGACAGTTTCTTTGATGAAGTCTTCTGGATGGAAGTTGAAACGTTTCAGCAAAAAAATAAACCGTCCAGATGACCTGACTGAAAATTGTTGGATTTTAGGACATACCTCACATCATCTGAGGACAGATGCAACACTCCTTTACTTAGGACAAATAATAATAATAATAAAATGTCAGGTTTTAGTATTCAAACAAACTACAATGAATCCCCCCACGTACAGTGTAAACCACAGATTAATGGAATAACTACTGTCTCAACTAAACCAGAGCCGGCACAAATCCAGCCCACGGTGCACGCCCGTGTCGATGCTCGTGAACGTAGAAAGTCTCCACTCGCAGCAAAAATTAATTAAAACTCAGCACCTTGTGTATCCATGTCCTCGGCTCCAGGTGACACTCGGTGACCATCTCTGGAGTCCACCTGTCATGATCCAGTCTGGTAATGATCCTCTGCAGCTCCTCAAGTTCCCCTCAGTGAAGGCGTGCAGTGGTCCTTGTTAGTGAACAGCTGGTTATGGTCCTTGTTGGTGAACAGCTGGTTATGGTCCTTGTTGGTGAACAGCTGGGTATGGTCCTTGTT